AAAAAAAAAATCACTCCCTCCACCCGGCTTCAGCTACACATCCCCACTGTGACACTCTGGTCCTTATGCCCACAATCCCCTGCCATTCTACTTTGCTGTGCCAATCACTCCCACTCTGACTAGTCTTCAGTTTTATCAGGTCCACTATTTCACTGACATACCATCTGCTATTCAACTGACCAACCCATTTGCTCTTTCCTTTATTTACTTTCACTCTTTATCCAGCTGATATTCTCTGAGCCATCATTACAATACTTTGGCTGGCCAATACCCTGAACACCTTGGCTGCTCTGTCAGTTTGTTCCCATGTATCTGGCGAACCCCAATCCCAAATAGAGCCTTCTATTGGCATTCAGATTATTTTCAATGGTTCCTGATTTCCAAAAACATCTGGAAAATTCACATACTTCAGCTATACCAGTACCAAAGTAGCTGAGCACTACTAAAGAAGGTCAACAGGGCAGACAGGTTATCACACTATATGCTCATGACACCAACTTGAACAAGGCTTCAGTGCTACTATTTCACCGGTTGGCATACTCTCTCTGCAACTACTTACTTTTCCCAAACATTTTCTACTTCCTTTAAACCTTGGACTTCTGTCCCTCTCATCTCCGTGACAACTCACGGCCAATGACTTTGCCTACAAACCTGAAGAAGCTGTACTCATCCTATCCTTGTTTTCTTTTGAATATAAGAGGAGCTTGCCCTTTTCCATCTTCTTATGAATACTATGCTACTACTTACCTTTTTTATATAACGGGTCCCTCTCTCCACTCTATCTTTCCCATGGACATTTAGTCTATTTTATCTATTAGAATTCCACCTAAAACTTCTTTGCAAAAAGGATCTTTCTGCTAGAACAGTGAAATCCCTTTGCCCTTAAGGATATAAGGCCCCAAATAAAGTCTCATATAAGGAATCATACACATACAAATAGGATAAAAAAACAAGGGGTCATGAACTGGATATCATAAGTATATACAGTTATATACAGGATCATGAAATTCTAAGCCATCCTGATACCATCTTTATATGCTTTACAATTAAGAGCTCTGCTAAAACTCCACAGGCAAGAAAAGTAGCAGAATTCTTCAGAGTGTTATTTTAATAACCAGTAAATCTGACAGCATGATTTTGTGTTACTAGGTCTAGATTGGGGGAGAGAAGGGAGGGAGGAGGAAGCAACAAATGTCCCAGCTACAGCTTTTTTTAAGAGCTAAAAATATTGCAGGATAAATACAGAACCATAAGTGATACTTAAGAAGTAAGTTTTGACAGCATAGTGATACGTTTTTGTAACAAATTATTCACGGAGAGAGCCTGACATTCCCACCCCCCAATGGTCCCTTCACCTGCACCGAACAAGCAGTTAAAAAACAAGACCATTCCTTAATTCAGAGCAGCTCTCCTGACAGCTGTTTACATTAATTAAACGTTTGGTCTCACAGGTCTGAGAGGGAGGAGGGAGAGGGGAGAGAAGTGGCTCTTGCAAGAGAAAAATCTTGCAAGCGCACGCATCTGGGATACCCTTCAGGAGGATGCCAGCCTCTATCCTGAGGGCACCACCTTGTCTCTCCTGCCTACAGCTCCGTGGTGTTACAGCAGGCACTGCCGCCGCCGCTGGGCTGCCTGCAAATCTAATGTGTTATTTAATTTTGTAACTACTATTAAGATCTCTACAGCGTTTTTGTGATGCGCTGGAATGAAAGATGCTCCTTAAAACGAGGTTTATTATTAGCATTATTATAGCTCCCGGGCCTAAAATAAAGCAAAATTATAACCACATACACTTCAAAAGGAAAATCCGAAGCCACAAGCGTCTCAAGCACTGCCAAACGGGCAGGGGATGGGCAGGGGCGGGGAAAGGGGAGCTCGGATCCGGCGCCCCTCACCCGCTCCCACCCCCGGCCAAACCCTCCAGCTCTCCCAGCACCAACCCTTAACCCTGTCTCAGGGGGTCAGCCCCCGCACCTCTGCACCTCTGCCCCGGCGCGGCGTCCTCTGAGGGTGAAGGGTCTGGAGTCGGACTGACCCCTCTCGGCCCCTCCTCGCCCACCAGCGCTCTGGGTGGCTCTTGCATTGCCCCATAGGCTGCCTCATTCGCAGCTCCAGCCTCGCCGCCTGATTTCTAATTCTCTCGCAGGAGCCTCAGTTTTCTCCCGTCTCCTACCTTGACTTTTTTTTTTTTTTTTTAATCCAAAACGTAGCTCGTTCCTCCGCTGTCCCTCAGGTCGGCGTACTGTCCCTCCATCCCACGTCTGGAACCCAGCAGCCCAGCCCAGGTCTCCTCGACCACTTTTCACTCGGCCTGGGGCGCCCCTCCCCTCAGCCTGGGGGTCCCGCTCGCGACCAGCCGCTTCCTCGTCTCCATCCCTTTTCCACTCAGCCCCGGCTGCCAGTGTCCCCGGCCCGGGTCTCCTCTCCGTCCCCCTTTCTCCTCAGACCAGCCCCCGCTGGGGACACCCCAGCCTCGGTTTCTCCTCAGCCCGGGGCTCCCTGCCTCCCTTCGCCCTCAGCCAATCTCCCGCCCAGCCCCGCGCGCCCGCCGCTCACCCGCGGACTCCCCGGTGTTGATCCAGTCCGGGTTGGCGATGCTGGCGATGGCGAAGATATCGGCGGCCAGAAAGAGACATCCTGAGATGATGGTCAGTTTATCCATCTCCCCGCCCCGCTCCCCCC